TATACACGTTGTACAAATAATTAAAATTTAAGATTACTGATATTTACAATATGAAGTTAGTTGCCATGAAATGGCTCCACTTTCAACAAAATTCAGTTTTGCTTCTCTTTCAGTCGTTCTTTCGAACATGAATGACGCGACTAATGCTCGACGCGCTTATCAGAAGTCAATTTCTGTAGATCCAAAAGCTCAAGTTGTGAGTTGAATCACAAAAACTCTCATTCTGTCGCTACGAGAAGTGTTTTAGATTCTCAACTATGCCATCTTCGAATATCGTCAGAAGAATAGAGATGTCGCAAGGGATGCGCTTACACATTTCAAAACAGTATCCTCGATGGCGGGTGGTTGTAGAAAGGTACGTATTTCCTTACATCTGTTATTTTTATACTATTTATTGGCTTTTTAGGATCTGCTTAGTAAAGCCGACCAATTGGATGACGCGTTGCTTTCCATACCACATGATGAAGAAGCAACTTAGTGATACAGTGCCTGTTTCCCAAAGTTTGATGTATTGTCCAGTAAAGATAAAATATAAAAAAGATTAACAGAAGTTGAAAAGTCTAATACATACTAGACAACTGACCGGAACTTCCGCAGAACGTTTGCAAAAGTTTCGCTGGGTCACCTGCGGAAGTTCCATAAACTGCGGAAGTTCCGTAAACGTGCTGCGGAAGTTCTGAAATGGACCGTCGGAAGTTCCGAAAAATGCGAACCACAACAGCAAAAGAGATTACTTAAGCAAGATTGAACCTTGATTTTTTGACTGCGAACTTCAGTCACTATAATCTGCACTATGAATGACATGTTCAGGAAAGCCCAATTGTTGGCGAGACAACATCATATGGGACAACACATCAAAGTTCTGCGGAAGCACCGAAAATTTTTGGAATTTCCGCAGGGTTTTGTGAAAAGTCCTACGAAAGTTCCCATTTTCGCCACTTCCACTTTTGTAATAGTAAAAAAAGCCTTGCGGAACCGCTACAAACTTGGCTTGTCCCGCGGAAGTTGCACTGAATTGTCCGAGAGTTATTCAGGAACCTTTTTTATAAGCTCTCAAATGAAACATTTTTTGTAGCAACTTCTATCAGATTTTATGAGAGCTTTAATGGAATAAGAATTGCACATGCTCATCTGCACTAATGCTCCTTGGCTTACTTTCATCCCAGTATGTTTTATGTTTTATCATAAATCATTGATTATATTGAATATGCATACCATATTATGTTATTCTGTTTTTATTCAGCTTACAGATAATATGGTAGATTTGCAAATGTCAGAAAT